AGAGAGAGAGAGAGAGAGATCTGGAAGCCTCTCATTACAAGTTGGTTGGGCATAATGTAAACACACTTCTGCCTTGCTTAATCACAGAGTGCCGACGTTTAGGTTTCAAAGGCGGCAGTAAATTGGGCGTAGCTGAGTGAAGGCTAAAAATTAACCAGCCATCTCTGTTTCAATTTGTAAGAAAACAAAAGCGGAAAGAAATTATAAAAAGAGAAAGGGAAACGGGGGAAAATAAAAAGGACTAGAGCACTAAACTAGCCCAGCCCAAAATTCAGGGCAAGACCAGAAGAACACAGGCGACTCAGAAAATACTTGGGACACAAAAGGGAAAGATTTTTGCAGGTTTTGTTTGTTTAAGACTTCTACAGCAAGCTACTCCCCAGCCAGGCCTGCTCCCATACATCTTTGCCCCCAGCAGAGGGCCAACCTGGGCCACTGGCCCAGTGGTGGGTATCTATCCTGAGGCCACATCTGCCAAACCAAGGTAGAGGAAGAGTTCAAGGAATCTCACTGTCTATGAAATTAAATTAGTTTCACAGCTTCTCAACAGCAAATCCCAGTCAAAACAGCTCCCACCTGGGCTTCTTGGGCCCCAGAACCAGCCCCTGTGCCTGCTTTCCTCTTTGTGGTTCATTCAGTCTCATATGAGGGCATGTCAGTCATCCCTCTCTACACTGACCTGCTCCCACCAGCTTGTGCCAAGTCCAGCTTCTCCTGAGAAGAGCTGAAGCTGCAGGGAAGCCAGCACCTCTGCCCCATTTTAAATACCAGCCAGCAATGGTTAGTTTTACTGTTGTTATCATTGGTCTCAAACTCTCACCATCACGGGTAATTCTGAGACATCTTGGGCCGGTCCTAAGACCGACAGCATCTTTCAGATAGGAAAGACAGAGATGCACAAAATGGGCACCATGGCAAAGGAGGAGAGGAAATAGAAGAGGAAGAAGGGAAAGGGAAAAAGATACAGAGCACATGACGTTGGCCCTGGCAGGATAGGTACACCAGTGAGGCCCAAGGCTTGTTGTTTAGAAATAAGAGGGACAGTAAACAGAACAAATGCTAGCAAGTGAAATAAAATGGGGGAAGGTTGAGAGCCACCTACCTGGAGTGTGGACAAAATAAGCCAGATAAAGATCCAGTTCTTTGATTGTGACTCCAATGTGATGTGGTTGGACGCACAGGCCGGGGTTTGAGCACTGGGGCGACTTGTAGAGCCGCTCCCCATCAGTACTTTCCAGGGGGATCCCCTTAAACAAAATCACCATGACCAGGTCCAGCCGCCACACCTTGTCAGCCTGGCGCAGGCAGTCAATCCGCCGGATCTTGCCCTTCTGGTCAGGGTTGGAGAGCACACAGCAGGGGGGTTTCTTGCCCGTGATGGTCAGCACAAAGTCCTCTCGGAACTCAGGCCGGATATCTTTGCGCAGCTTGGCCAGCAGCCGGGAGGCCCACTTCTGCTTTATCTCCGGCTTTTCACCTAGCAGCTCGTCCTTCACCGCCCGCTCCTCGTCCTTCGACATCCGTTTCTCGTGCTTTTTAAAGTACTTGCGCTTCCGCGCCTGCAGGTTGAACCAGGTGTAGGAGAAGGCTCGGACGTGAGGCAGCAGCGCCTCGATGAACGGGTGGAACTCATCCTGCAGGCGGCAAGCCGGGAGCATGCGGGGCGAGGGAGGACGGGAGGAGGGGAAGACGGGATGAGGGGAAAAGAGAAGGAGAAAGCTGCGTTAGAAGGGGGAGCACAAGGAAAACCGCCTTCTCTTCTTCCTCCTCCCTCTCCCCGTAATTTTCTCTTGAGATTGTTCTCCTAAAGTATGGTTTGAAGCCACCACCAGCTTCGCCAGCCACTCGCTCCCATCTCAGCCTCAGCAACCAAACAGAAGACTCAGAGCCTGTCCACACACCTATTCTCTCTCTCCCCCTCTCTCTCCCTCTCTCTCACACTCTCTCTCACACGCAAGCATGGACAATGTTGCTGTGTACACACACACACACACACACACACACGCACACACACACACAGCCTTGCTGGTATCCCCAGGCTCTGTCTACCCATGACATCTCCATGTTCTACGGCAGCCACCAACTAGGGTCAGCTCGCCCCAGGGCAGTGTCCCGCTGGCTGCACTAGGTGCCTGTGGGTGCACAAGCAGGGTATGCAGGAGCTGCCTCCTGTCCTCCTGTCCAGCACTAGCCAATGTTTGGCCATCCACAGTGGAGGAAGGGGCTTTGGGTCCCCTCTCACCAGGCTGTTTACATTTTCTTTTCTCCTAATCCAGGTGGAACATCCATGCCAGCATTTTTTAAAATCAGATCTAAATCCTAAATATGTGGTTTCAGCTTTGTTATCAGCACTGAACTGTTAACCATAGTAGTAGTGAACAAAACACTTCTTGTTAGCACAAATAAGGTGGTTTCTCAGCCACATTAGGGTTAAAAGCTATAAAAGTAGTCTTGTGGCCCCAACCCCAGCCTCCCACAAGCCCCCCTCCACCCTCTTTTCCTACTCAACCAGGTGACAGAGGACAGGGTTCTCATCAGTTTTTTTTTCTTTCTTTCTTTTGCTTGTTTGAAGTTTAAATAATTGATTTCTTTTTACAAAAATAAAGCTGGAAAAAATTAAATAATTACCATTGATCTGACGCACCCGGCAGAGCCCAACGCCTGATTCTGAGATTCTGGACTCAACAGAGTTGTGAGTTGGGGGCGGGTGGCGGGAGGGGGAGGAGGAGGAGCAGGGGAGGAAGGTAAATGTTTTAAAGGGGGTTATTATTGGTGTTCTGGGGAATAGGGGCCGGGCTTGGGTGTATTCTCAAACCCTCCCCCCCCACCCCACCCCCAACGCTCCACTGCACAGAAGGGGGATATTAATTTTTTTTTGAAAAGGAGCAAAAAGAAAGGTCAGGGGTAGCAAGTAGACAGCGAGTGAGGTGGCCGCCACACACACCAGGTAAACAAAAGCAACAATTTTTTTCAGTTTCCCCCTGTGCATCCTCTTCCAGTTCAAAATAAAAGAGATCAAAAACCTGCAAAATTTAAAAATCAAAACCAACCTCCCACCATCTACTCCACACACAACAGTGCCTTACCCCCCACCCCACCCCACCCCACCCCTGCAAAACAAAAACAAAAACCAGGAGGAAAAGCAGCAGCTGAAGAGAAAGGCTTTCAGCCCTGGCAGCAGTACAGGGTGTAAACTTGGAGCTGCCTCCCTTCACCCCACCAGAGGAACAGGGGAGCTCGCAGATTCCCGGGGAAGAGGGCGAGTTCTGACCGGCTGCAGACCGTTGCTGGCAGACGCAAGAGAGAGGGAGCGAGGGAGGGAGGGAAAGAAGAGGGGGAGGGAGAGATGGAGGATCCGAGGAAGACGGGGATGGGATGGGGTGTATGATTGTGCGCTTGTGAGTGTGCACGTGTGTGTGTGTGTGCGCGCGCGCGCGCGCGCGCAAGAGGGTGTGCGTGCACAGGCACTGCTGGGTTTGTTGCTCCTTTTCTCTCTCAAACTCCCTTTTCTCTCCCCTTTCATGTTCAATCCCCATCCATTTGTGTGTGCCAAGTCAGTAAAAAGGGGGGAGGGAGAGAGAGCTAGAGCGAGAGGGGGGAGAGGGGGAGGGAGGGAGAGAGCGAGAGGAGAGAGAGAGAGAGAGAGAGAGAGAGAGAGAGAGACCTATTTGGCAAAGACACATTGCGGAGCAGCCAATGGCTGCGTCCACAGGGAGGAGGGAGCTGGGAGAGCCAGGAGGGTGGGGAGAGCCCCCCGGCAGTTGGAGACCAAAAACAATTTGCCCAATCGACAAGTTCCCGTCTAATGAACAAGCAAAGTCCAGCAGTTATGAATTTTTCATCCCAGGCTCCCACTCGGGTCTATTTGGCAGCAGCCACCCAGCAAACTCAGGGAGTGGGGGACTGGGATTGAGGAAGACACGAAATTTTTTTCAAGCCAGAAAAAATAAATAAATAAAGGCCTGACTCCTGGCGGGCTGGCGGCTGGGCGGGAGCCCCAGAAGGCCTTGGGGAAAGCAGCTGCGCCTTCTCTCTGTGTTTTAGTTTCAGTCTTTCTCTCAGCCCCCCCCACTCTCTCTTTTTCTGGTTCTAGATTTTTTTTTTTAATAGAGCACAGAGGGGCAAGTGGAAGTTTTCCTCCCCAGCCCTATGTACCAGCCTCAGAAGCTATGAATAGAAGAGCTCCAAAACTGTCCAGTCAGGAGCACTTCCAAGGCTGAGACCAGCCTGGTGGGTATAGTTACCCCTTGGTCCCCAGATCTGGCTGCCTGCTGGACCCAGGAGCCCTCCCAAACAGAGGCAGCACCCTGTACCTCCCAGCCTCTTCCCCAGCCCCTGGCGAGCTCTGCAGCCTCCCTCAGCCCACACCGAACCGTGCTCCATTAGTGGTGACGAGGGATGCCAACGCAATGCAGCATGGCTCGAGAAACTGCAACAGTTTATTAAAATAGCCTCCTGTCACAGCACTCCTCTGACAAGCACTACACGCAGCCACAAACACAACAGCCAGCCCCTGGGAAAAGTAACAGAGGCAGAAAGACGGACACTGCCTTGCTTTGCCCATATGGCCTCCCCTACTGTGAAATTCTTCCCCTCCTCCAGATTTGTCCTCTCTACTCCATCCGGTGTTAATTTTCTTACCTGTCCCTCCAGTTAATCCAGACTAAAGGGCTAGAAATAAAGTGCTAGGTGAAAAAGGATAAACTGAAAAGCCTGAGTGCTGGGGGGACTTGAGAAAGGACTAGGACAAACAGAGTTGCCTCCAGGAAGCCAGGACACCAGGGGAGACCAAGTCACAGAGTGGATTGTCTGGGGAATCCCTTCTCCAGGTCCCCAGCTTGGAGCTTCCTCCTAGTAAGTTCAGAGATGGTGCTCTTGGGAGGGGGAGCACCACCTTCATGAGGGTCTCTTCTAACTGCTATCGCTATCGTAGGCCTTAAAAAGCAATAAGGAGATAGTCTGGAAATGCCAGGGAGAGCAGAGGAGGAAGGACATCAGCAGCAAGTGCAGACTGCTCCAGCAGTCCCCACAGCCACCCTCTCTGTAGGCTCAACCCTCAGCTGACAAAGGAAAAAAGGTCACTGCTCACTCATGCCCCTTTCCTCCCAAGGCTGAAATCCTGTGATTGGTGGCCTTTTTGTTTGGTGGCAGAAAGATTCCTGGAAGAACGAGTGCCTGGGGTGTGCCAAAACAAAAGCACCACCCCCTGACAATGAGCAGTGCCACCCAACACCTGGGACCCCATACCCTAAATAGGTAACTCCAGTGGAGTGAGCTCACTGCTGACCCCAGAGACATAGCTAGAGGGAACAGTGCAGGAGGCCAGTGCCATCACAGACAGGCCTCTTAAGGTAGTTTTCAATAATTCACGTCCTGTGAATAACAGGCTTTGGTCCAACTAGCCAAAGATGGCTTAGTGCTTAGTGACATAAGGTATTGAACCCTGCCTCTCCACCTTGAGGAAGCAATTTCACTTTATAAAGTCAGGATAATGTCCCAAAAGCTGCAAATGAATTTATTTGGTGAAGGTAAAGTGGTGGTACTATTTTGGTATTCTGATTATGCTAAATATCAGAAAGAAAATGGCCTACGTAGCTTCGTGGCAAATCCTGGCTTGTTCCTTTCATAGACCACAGTGCTGGTGTAACAACCTAGCTGAGAGATGAATATGGATAGATCCATGGAAGTTAGAAAAACAGGACAGTGGAAGATTCACTCTTTGAGGGACTGAGGAAGGGAAGGGTCAAAGGTCCTTAGAGGGCAGGCAGATCTGAGAAGTGACAGGACTAGGGAGTATATGCAGGAAACCTTAGGGACTCAGGCAGATCCTTGACCAGAAATGGCAACGGGCTCTTCCTCAGAGAGACTAGGAGAATGAGGAGATTGTCAGCTGTCCTTTAGTGGTGGTGGGGGGAAGACAGGGAGGCATAACCTTGAAGGTGAGCAGAGGATCTTTGGGCAGCTCCTCTTGCACCTTGCTCCCTGCAGGACCTACTGGCTTCCTATAAGCAGGTCATCCCAGTAAAAACAGCGCTCTCTCTCTGTCTCTCTCTCTGTTCCATTTTAAACACCTCAGTCAAGCACAGCTCCCCTCCATGGCCCAGTCCTTAGATCCCATAGGTCACTGGTGGGGGGCTGCCGGCAGCCCAGATACACCCTCCAGAGCCCCAAACAAAAGGAGACTGTCCCCCTTTTGTCAGGAGATAGTCTTGGCACCCACTGGAAGGTTACCTGTCCCTGTCCCAGCTTCTTCCTTTCTCCCTTCCCACCCTCTGTCAGGAGGTCACACTTCTGCACCCAGAACAGAGCTAAGAAGTAAAACTATTGACAATTCAAGGCTTTTCCAGGTCTGAGTCCGATAAGAATAAGGGTTCAGGGGATGGAAAGAGCAAACAGAGGGCCACTCAGGCCACTGAGGAAGAGGAGGGCAAAGAAGCAAAAGGAAGAATGAAGAGGAAGCCACCAAGGTTGGAAAAGAGATGCTAAGAGCAAGAGAGGAAAACAACAGAGGAAAAATTGGGGTTTGAAAGGATATTTCTTTTTTTTACTTTTTATTTTTTTGCAAGAAAAATCAAGAAGCCAGAAATACTACTTTGAAATCAACATGGACTTTGATTTTTTGAAAATAAATTTTCTGGCTTGATGAAAGACAGGCCTCAGTCTTTCGCTGATGAGAATATAGAATTTGGTGAAAAACAGCAATAATTTCTGCTGAAACACAGCTTCAATAAATCGCCATGCCTGTTTCAGCCAATACCACTAGAAGTGTGCCCCCCCCAAGGTTGAAGATTAAGCATGCCACAGAGAAAGGGAAATGGGGGGGCAGCAAAAGGCAGGCCCAGGGACACCACACTGGGCCCAAAACTTCAAAAAGGACAAAGATAGAGAAAAAGGCAGCAGAGAAGGAAAAATAAGCAAGAAGGAAAAAATAGAGAAGGGCTCTGAAATGGGAGAAGAAAAACTAGCTAAGAAAAATGATGGCTTCTTGTGGAGATAAAAGTAAAGTCCATGGTTTTCAAGAACACCACAGATAGTCCTGTGAACCTTGGGACCATTTTATACAAAAATAGAAAAACAAGCCCAACACCTCTCTTATATGTACAATAGTCAAAATTCCTCAAGAAAACAAAATAACCACCCCCAAAATTGATACAGATTTTACAACTGGCCTTTGCCTGCCAGCAGTGAGGCATCTAAAAGCTCAAGCAGCTGTATTTTAAAACCCAGCCATTGGTGTGGTAGTCTCTTTATCTTTAAAAACAAAATCTTGTTTGTCTTCAACTTGCTGGCTTTAGGGCCTAAATATATTCTTTCAGATCCTAGGCCTATGCTGATTTGGGTAAGCATCCATGGTTAGAACACATAACTTACACAGAAATTATCAGAAATTCCAGGATCCATTTTACTAGTGCATATCTGCAGACTAGGTGAGGAAAGATGCAGGAAATTTAAAAGGCCACAAATAGAGCCCCAATGAGTTCACCTAATCCTCATCATTTTACAATTCAGCCTTGGTCCGGACTGACAGAGGCAGCTTCATACCCCCGCAACACACACACACACACACACACACACACACACACACACACACAATCTCACGATCTCCCGTGGAAGGCCGCTGAGAAGGCCGCTGGCATACACTAGGGACCGGACTCTGGCAACAGCAAAAGGGAAAGGACCTGGCTGATTATTCGAGAGGTAGGGCCTCCCTCTCTGGGGGTGGTGAGAAGGGGCTCTGCAGCAGAGCGAAACTATCCAAGAGTCTGGAAATGCTAGGAATGGAAACCGGAAAATGCACTTTCCG